TTTTCAGGTCACAGCCGGCCCGCAAGGTGCGGACCTTTCCACACTCACTTGGGCCGCAGGAAAATAGAAGGCGGGGAAGGAGTTTCTTAGGGGTGCATTCTGCGAGTTACCAGCCTCCCTTCTGGCCCAAGGTTGCGGCTAAAGCCTAACGTGTTTTAAGTGCTCTTGATTTTATCCCATAGTAAGACAGTCCCCCACCCCCACGCTCGCCTTTGGCCAAGATAATTTGGTGAGATATTTGCACTTCTCCTTTAAATGAACAGTTTGCTATGCGAACTATAGAATCTGGGAACGATAGAGATAAAAGCCTCCAAATTTTCTTTTTGGTACTTTTATTTCAGGAAATTCCCGTGACCTACTGATGAGTGACTGATCATCTATTCTTTCCTCTCAATTCATATTTTCTTTCTTGATCAAGTTGGCAGACCTTTAATGGCTGATTACTGTGTGGAAGCTAGGTCACTAAGCACCTTGGGAATACAAAGATAAGGAAACTTCACTCTTCCCAGAGTCTATCAATGATTCGCAACCGTACTGAGATCGGGGAATTGGGTGCTTAGTGAACTTTCAGAGAACACCTTGACAGTGATTGGGATTGAATCTAGTTCACCAAGGGTGAAAATAATGGACTGGATGAATCAAGAATATACAGTCTTTTCTTGATTTGAATAAAAGAATAAAGTCTTTTATTGATTTGCCTAACCAGAGCTGTGGATTGTGCTATGAGCTTGGTATACAGGGATGAAGCAGATGAGGTCTTTGTTCTTAGTGTTCACACACTGTGGAAATTACAGGAGAGGAGGCATGTGATGGTACAAGAATTTTCTGGAGGGAGATAAGGTGACTTAATGAAAGGGCACAGAAGAGATCAGAGATTTGGGATTTAAAAATGTGCTCCTAAGGGGATAGTTTTTGGAGTAGAGGCAGAAGACTTCTCCCTCTTAGAAGGAAAAGGAAAAGATGGTGATCCGGGGAAAACTTGAAATGGGGTAAAGTTTAGTATGACAGATGTTCTGATGACGGTGAAGTGATTTGTGAAGGGTTAGGGTAGGGATGGGTTAGAACTCGGCTTTGGACCATACAAACATCAGATGTTCCCTGAAAGTTTTTACCAAGTGACTAAGGCTTGGTCCCCACCCCAGACCATTTAAACCAGAATCTCTTGGGGATAGGGACCTGGTTCAGCAATGTTTTCTTTTTGGTTTTTTTTTTTGTATTTGTATTTGTTTTGGTTTTGGTTTTTGAGATGAATCTTACTCTGTCACCCAGGCTGGAGTGCAGTGGCGCGATCTCAGCTCACTGCAACCACTGCCTCCAGGTTCAAGCAGTTCTGCTTCAGCCTCCTGAGTAGCTGGGATTACAGGCACACGACACCACGCCTGGCTAGTTTTTGTATTTTTAGTAGAGACGGTTTCATCATGTTGGTCAAGCTCGTCTCAAACTCCTGACCGTGTGACCCACCCGCCCTGGCCTCGCAAAATGCTGGGATTACAGGCGTGAGACACTGTGCCCGGCCTCAGCAGTGTTTTTAAAGCAACCCAGAGGATTTTAACACAGGGTTGAGAACCAGTGTGTTACAGAGTGGAACAGTGGTTATTTGTAAGTTAGAGATGAAGAAAAGGTTGACCAGAGGCTGGGCATGGTGGCTCATGCCTGTAATCCCAGTACTTTGGGAGGCTGAGACAAACAGATCCCCTGAGGTTAGAAGTTCGAGACCAGCCTGACCAACATGGAGAAACCCAGTCTCTACTAAACATCCAAAATTAGCCGGGTGTGGTGGGGCATGCCTGTCATTTCAGGTACTGGGGAGGCTGAGGCAAAAGAATCGCTTGAACCCCGCTGGTGGAGGTTGCGGTGAGCCCAGATCTGCCATTGCAGTCCAGCCTGGGCAACAAGAGCAAAACTCTGTCTCAAAAAAAAGAAAAGGTTGAACAGAATAACCTGTTTTTTGTTTTTTTAATGTCCGGTTCCTCATTAGGGGCTTACATTGTATTAATAGCAGTAGGAAAGACTAGGACAAATGATTAGCACAGTGGATGTATCAGAAGGTTCAAGGAAGAAAGAAATTAAATAATAACTTGTTTCCTGACTGTCTACCATGTACCAGGCAGTGTGTTAAGCACTTTACATACGTCGTCTTTAATCCTCACAGTAACCTAGCAAAAATTAAGCAGTGCTACATGAGAAGCCAGAGTTCTAGGTGTTAGGGTTGGAAGAATAAAGAGGTCTTTTGTGGTTAGAAAGGTAGTTCAGGCCGGGCATAGTGGCTCACGTCTGTAATCCAAGCACTTTGGAGGCCAAGGCAGGAAGATCACCTGAGGTCAGGAGTTCAAGACCAGCCTGACCAACATGGTGAAACCCGTCTTTAAAAAAAAAAAAAAAAAAAAAAGGTAGTTCAGTGAGAGTCACAGGATGGATGTGTGAGGCAATCAGCATAGACCTTGAAACCTGGAGGTCAATAGTAAATAATGGAATGGGGAGCCAGAGCATAAGCACATATGACATCTCTGAGAAGGAAGGGTAGGATCTGGGAGGCAGGTGTGGAAGGAATGATTCTGGTGAATGGTGTGGGTTGGGAGGGTGGCTGTTGGTGTGTCATGGTGTAAAAAGAACGGGACAAGAAGACCTGGGGTCAGGGTAGTGGAATAAGCACCTCCATTTTTGTCTCAGTGGGGATCTTGCCAAGGGTGCATTGTTCAAGACAGCTGGGTTTCAGTTGAGTTATGTCAGTCCCAGGGCTCCTTCAGATCCCTCATAATGCAGCTGTAGACCTGGAGAAGGTTCAGCAAGTAGGTATTATGTTAGCTGAGTTTTTAAAAATAGGTAAAATAATTTGGAAAAAAAACCCCAGACATATGCAGGCCCTAGGTCCCACTCCTATTAATTCTACTTTATGTAGCCACTGTTAAAAAAAACTACTGGCTGGGTGTGGTGGCTTATGCCTGTAATCCTAGCACTTTGGGAGGCCAAGATGGGCAGATCATTTTAGGTCAGGAGTTTGAGACCAGCCTGGCCAACATGGTGAAACCCCATCTTTACTAAAAATACAAAAAAATTAGCCAGGCCTGGTGGCACATGCCTGTGATCTCAGCTACTTGGAAGGCTGAGGAACAGGAATATCTTGAACTCAGAAGGTGGAGATTGCAGTGAGCCGAGATCGTGCCATTGGACTTCAGCCTGGGTGACAGAGTGAGACTCTGTCTCAAAAAATAAAAAATAAAGAAACTTCATTTATTTTGAGATGGGGTCTTGCTTCTGTCACCCAGCTGAGAGTAAAGTGGCGGGATCTCATCTCATTGAAGCCTGTGCCTCCCAGGCTCAGGTGATCCTATCACCTCGGCCTCTGGAGTAGCTGGGACAATAGGCACACATCACCATGCCCTGCAATTTTTTTTTTTTTTTTTTTTTTTTTTTTGTATTTTTGCTGGAGATGGGATTTTGCCATGTTGCCCAAGCTGGTCTAAAACTTCTGAGCTTAAGCAGTCTGCCTGCCTTGGCCTCCTACAGTGCTGGGATTACAGGAGTGAGCCACCGGCCTAAAAACTTTATATTTTTGTGAGCAATAAACTATAAAGTGTTAGTTATTAGTAATGACTGAATTGATGTTTTTAAAAGTCTAAACTTGGGTGTCAGGTCCGTGTTCTGGGATTCTGTGGTTTTTTAGTGCTTACTAAGGTAACTACCATTGATGGGAATTTATTTTTTCCTCTGGTAGTAGCATTCTTCTTTTTTTCCTTCTCTCTCTGTTATATAATTAATAATTCTGTATGAGTTTTACATTTTTAGCTTTACATGCTAGAAGTCAAGTTCAGATTTTAGTAATCTGCTTTTTTTCTCTTGATGTTTATTGTTCAGCTAGGATAATTGCTAACAGAAGGGTAGTTTACAGTGTTACTGTAGTAACTTGCCAAGGTTTTAAGCATTATGTATCAATTACACTTTTAAAATTTAACATTGGCCAGGCGCGGTGGCTCATACCTGTAATCCAGCCTTTGGGAGGCTGAGGCGAGCAGATCACTTGAGGTCGGGAGTTCCAGACCAGTTTGGCTGACGTGGCAAAACGCCTCTCTACTAAAAATACAAAAATTAGCTGGGCATGGTGGTGCACGACTGTGATCCCAGCTACATGGGAGGCTGAGGCTGGAGAATCACTTGAACCTAGGAGGCAGAGTTTGCAGCCAGCTGAGATCACGCCACTGCACTCCAGCCTGGGCGACAGAACAAGACGCTGTCTCGATACATAAATAAAATAAAATAAAATTTAACATTTTATTTTTTATTTAACAGTCGTTTTCCTGTTATTTCCCATTAAATAGTCTGTACTCAATGCTCAGAAATTTCTTAAAATATGAGAAATCATTTCAGTAATAACATTTATTTGATGGTTTATTACATTTTACATTTGTACAGAAAATTAAAATAGTAACTGGGTATTTGGAATCTGAAAGTTTTAAGTGTATTTTGGTAACACTGTTATTTGGATTTGAATGGCACAAGGATGGGGACCACCTGTTCGGGATGTTACTGAAATCTGTTTCTTACGTTTTTAGAGGCTTCATGACGGAGTTATCAGAGACATTCAGAGGCAAAATCGGAAAAAAGAAAACATTCGTCTTTTGGGAGAGCAGATTAAATTGACTAAGCAACTTGAAGCAGAAAGAGAGATGTTATTGGCAAAAGGATCTCAAAAAACGACTTGAATGTGAAATATCAATGGGACAGACAACATGAGTGTATGTGTGTGTGTTGACGGAGAGTAGCTTAGTGGTGTCTTCATCTTTTTTTTGGTCACCGTCCTTTTAAACTTGATCAGATAAAGGACAGTGGATCATATATTGTAAATTACTGCTTTCAGTGTCCCTTATATCTGAATAAAGGAGTGTAGGCAGATGCTCTTTGGAAGAGTCTTTGTATGATCCTGGTAGAAGCTCTGCTAAGGTCACTGTCCAGAGCTTAGGGTTGTTACTGAGAAGCACTGCTGAACTTGTGAGAAGGAAGGGATGGAGAGTAGCATCCACCTGAGTAGTCTGATTAGTCGGCATGATGACGAAGCCACGAGAACATCGACCTCAGAAGGACTGGAGGAAGGTGAAGTGGAGGGAGAGACACTCCTGATTGTGGAATCTGAGGATCAGGCATCAGTGGACTTATCACATGACCAGAGTGGGGATTCCCTCAACAGCGATGAAGGAGACGTATCGTGGATAGAGGAGCAGCTGTCCTACTTCTGTGACAAGTGCCAAAAATGGATACCAGCCAGTAAGGAGCTTCTCAATTTCTTTGATTTGTCAATTGCAGTGTGAAGGTTTGTTTTTCCAACCTGAGAAAGAAATGTGAATATAAAAGAGACCTAAATAAAAGGATAATTATATTTATTCTCTAGTTAATCAGCTATCAATTTATACAAAACCTAGGCACGTTTGTACTAATGAAACTTACTGTCAACCTCTGTCACATCGTTAACAATTTTGATGGTAACTCAATAAAAATGAGAAAATTGGAAATCCTGTGTTACTTAAATAATTAGCCATATTTTTCTAACATGATCATATAGATTTGGGGCAAAATTCCAATCCCAATGTAGAATTCATGTTCAAGTTTATAAAAATTACTTTGTTAATGTTTAACTTATGCAGAGAACTGCTGTTGTATACTGAAGAGAAGTTAGATGAGCACATTGAAGGTGTTTTTTGCTCTTTTTCTAGGACCAGTCTTTTTTTCCCATTTTCCTTTTTTTCTTCTGGCAAGAGATAACATCATACACACTCCCTGATTGCCCCAATCTTGAGGTTTTCTTCTTTTTTTTTTTGTTTTTGGAGATGGAGTTTTGCTTTTGTTGCCCAGGCTGGAGTGCAGTGGTGCGATCTCGGCTCCTGGGTTCAAGTGATTTTCCTGCCTCAGCCTCCCAGGTAGCTGGAATTACAGGCATTTGCTACCACACCTGGCTAATTTTTTTTTTTTTGAGAGTTTCATTCTCATTGCCCAGGCTGGAGTGCAAAGGTGCAATCTTGGCTCACTGTGACCTCTGGCTCCCAGGTTCAGGTGATTCTCCTGCCTCAGACTCTCAAGTAACTGGGATTACAGGCATACACCACCATGCCTGGCTAATTTTTTATTTTTAGTAGAGATGGGGTTTCTCCATGTTTCTCAGGCTGGTCTCGAACTCCCAACCTCAGGTGATCTGCCTGCCTCGGCCTCCCAAAATCCTGGGATTACAGGCATGAGCCACTGTGGCCATTCCCAATTTTGAGATATTCCATGGTCAGCTTCCTGGCACTCGAGGGTATGGCTTGCCAGCCATACGGTTCGTACCAAAAGAGGATTTTCCCATTAGGCAAGAGGCTTTACAGACATATGTACCTGAGGAATGCTTTTGTGTGATAGAATCTGTCATCAAGTAGGAGAAATACATTGTAATTATGAAGTGGTCATTTTCTGGCATGTGGAAATTTTTTCTTAAAATGGGTTCAACTTCAGATTTAGTTACTGTTAACAAATTAATAGTAACATTTTCACAGGAAATGTAGAATTTACTAGTTAGCTGGTTTTTGCTTCTGAGTGGTCTCTGCTTATTAAATCCAGGTTCTGCCTGAATTCTCAGTGGCTTTCCCTTTGTCCTGTGAGGATAAATTTTAAGCTGCTCTTTGTGGTCAGGACCCTGCTAAGTGTAGCTTTGTTGATCCCCACAGAACTTTGCAGTTAGGATGAACTTTTCATTCTTTACAAACAATTCTGTCTTATTCCTAGGGCTTTGCACATGTATTTTTCCTTTCTGGAATATGCTCCTCCACAGCCTCCATTCTCCCTTTACACAAAGACACCCCTTTTCACCTGGCCAATTTCTAATCCTAAGCCTCCCCCTAACATAGGTTGGGTCCCCCTTTTACTTACTCTCACACTGCCCAGTGGTGCATATCACATTCCACTCCTGTGGTTTTCATGTGTCACAGAAATGTAGCTCCTAGGCTCTGCTTCAGAAGTTGATTCATTTTATCTGGTCTAGAACCAAGTATATTTAGAAAACCAGGAACAACTTGGGCGATTCTGATGCATTGTGAGCGTGGAGAATCACTGTGCTGCCCTCAGGGAAGTGCAAACCTGTGAGACCAGGCACCATTATCTGTCTTGGGCTTTGTATTCCCAGTTCCTAGCGCAGTGCCTGGTATGCAGAAGGAGCTCATATTTTTTGAAAGAATGTGTGAAGAGACCTGCCTCTGGGAGTCAGGAATGTGACACTTGGGAAATCCAGCAACAATACCTGATTTTCCAGTACTTTTCTCCTAAAAGTTACTGGATCGTACAGATCTTAGTGGGCGTATACTTGGTGTTAGAAGAATACAAGTCTTTCTTACTGCCTTCCTCTTTCCCATCTTGCTATTGTGTGTTTGCTCAAGAAAAGAAGACTCAACATGGGAAAGGAAAATCTGGGTGATAAATGCATCATACCTTGGGGTTACCACTGCTCTAGATAAACCCATGATGTGACTTTCTGTTTTTCTTCTAGGTCAGCTGAGGGAACAGCTCAGTTACCTTAAGGGTGATAATTTTTTTAGGTTTACTTGTTCGGATTGCTCGGCAGATGGCAAGGAGCAGTATGAAAGGCTGAAGCTGACATGGCAGCAAGTGAGTAAAAAGCCATTCCCCCAGGGGTTTGTTGGAATGAGTATCTAGAAACTTAGGGATGAGCTTTTGAGTTGTTTGGAGGGGGACTTTTTATTTCGAGATGCAATTAGATACCGAATAGGTGGAGAAGGAAGTGAAAAATATTTGCTGTAATCCCTGCGCTTTGGGAGGCCAAGGTGGGTGGATCACCTGAGGTCAGGAGTTGGAGACCAGCCTGGCCAACATGGTGAAACCCCATCTCTACTGAATATACAAAAATGGTGGGCCATTTTTGTGGTGGTAGGCCCCTGTACTCCCAGCTACTTGGGAGGCTGAGAGGCAGGAGAATTGCTTGAACCCGGGTGATGGAGGTTGCAGTGAGCTGAGATCGTGCCACTGCACTCCAGCCTGGGCGACAAAGTGAAGCTCCATCTCAAAAAAACAAAACAAAAAATTCACTGCTGACTTGGTGAATTGGTTTGAGAGGCTTGAGAATCTCGTGATTTCATTTATATGTGATACCAAGCTCTGGTTATAATTGGAAATGAAATTCTTATTTTCCTGGCAGCCATTTTAAGAACAATAAAACTTTTTTTTTTAAATGGAAAGATGGCTGTATTGGAAATAGATTTGAAAGAACTAAGGTGACTGACTGCAAAAACCAACATAACCCAGCTTTCTGCATTTGAACTCGGAGATGTTTGAATATTTTTTTGTTTGCTGAAATACTTGTTCATTTTTAACTATCTCTAATACCAACACCTTAATCTAAGCCAGCTGTATCCTAAACAATAGCTTTTTACTGATCTCCGAGTTGTATTAAATTGTTTGGTTTTGTTTCTACATCAGTATGTTAATATATAATATATATAATAATAAGGCACCAGTATATATGTGCTGTTTAGTTCAAAAACCAAATGAAGCCAGACATGGTGGCTTACATCTGTAATCCCAGCACTTTGGGAGGCTGAGCCTGCCAGATCACCTCAACTCAGGAGAGCAGCCTGGGCAATGTGGTGAAACCCTGTTTCTATAAAAAAACAATACAAAAATTAGCTGAGTGTTGTGGTGGTGGGTGCCTGTGGTCCCAGCTTCTCAGGAGACTGAGGTGGAAGGGTCGCTTGAGCCTGGGAGGTTAAGGCTGCACTGAGCTGTGATTGAGTTACTGTACTTCAGCCTGGGTGTCAGAGTGAGACCCTGTCTCAAAAAAATGAATTATATGTTACTCAGTTATGTTCATTCATTCAACAAATACTGAGTACCCATTATGAACCATGTGCTATTCTAGGCCTGAGTCTACTGTGGTGAATGAGATAGCTAAGGCCTCTTCCCCAAGACAGCTGACATTCTGTACTTAATTTAGGTAATATACAGATAAACAAGATAATTACCCATAGCACTTTTTAGTTTGATGGAAATGGGTGATGAGAAAGATTTTAAATCACACCCTTGTAGCCACTTGTGGTGGTCGTTATAAATTGTAGTTGCTTTAGCAGCCTTACACTATTATCTTAATCATTAGTGCTTTGTTAGTGAGTCTGAAGAAATCTGTCAGCAGTGAATTTAGGAAGCCTTTTCTTTGACTTGCCTGAAAAAAATGTAAGTAGAAAATGAAGAGAAGTTTGTATTGAGGATAGAGCCTCATGAATATTGTAATTGGGACATTTTTCTCAAGTGTACATGGGATACATGAATATATTAATATATAAAATATATAGATATAAATATAATAATTTATAATTATCTTATAAAAATCTTATAAATTATTGTGATATGTGCACACAGGTAGATTTGTATTTGGCCTGTAAGTGGTTTCTCATGAAAGCTGTAAAATGGGAGAGAGCAAATATACGTAATTTGTTATTTTCAAAAATATGAGTTTTCCATAGAGGTTCTTTTTAAAAGAAATGCTGGCTTTTGCCTATTTTGCTCAGAATATGTAATATTGGCTCACTTTGCATGTTTATTTATTCATTTTTATTTCTTCTTTGAGGTGGAGTCTCGCTCTGTTGCCCAGGCTGGAGTGCAGTGGCATGATCTCAGCTCACTGCAACCTTCGAGTCGCAGGTTCAAGCGATGCCCCTGCGTCAGCGCTCCCTAGTAGCTGGGATTATAGGCATGTGCCACCATGCCTGGCTAATTTTTTTTTGTATGTTTAGTAGAGACAGGGTTTCACCATGTTTGCATGGCTGGTCTTGAACTCCTGACCTCAGGTGATCCAGTGTGCCCAGCCACTTTGCATATTTAATTAGACTAACATACAAATTCTTTTCTTTTCTTTTCTTTTTTTTTTTTTTTGAGAGGGAGTTTAGCTCTGTCCCCCAGGCTGGAGTGCAGTGGCACGATCTCAGACAACTGCAACCTCCACCTCTCAGGTTCAAGCAATTGTGATTCAGCCTCCTAAGTAGCTGGGATTACAGGCACCTGCCACCACACCTGGCTAATTTTTAGTAGCGATGGGGTTTCACCATGTTGGCCAGGCTGGTCTCGAATTCCTGACCTCAGGTGATCCGCCTGCCTCAGTATCCTGAAGTGCCACCAAGCCCAGCCAAATTATTTTTTCACTTCCAAAAGACATATTGATGGTGGATACTAATCTGGTAGGATGAAGTGATCACTTAGATTACACACATCTGGTTCTCTACAAACAAGTGACCAGTGTTTCTAGTTGCATCTGAAAAAGCCCACCTCTGGTTGAAGTCCTGAAAGAGAATCAGTTGGTCTTGAATAGACTTCATTGATGTCACCAAATACTTAGCATATTGAAATGTGGGTTTTCTGTCTTTTTAAATCTCAAACTTTGTTGATTTACCAAAGAAATATATAGAAATGCTAGCAATGCAGACAGCATTTTGTTTGTATTATAAAATACTTGTAGTAAAGAGGTCTGATCTCCTGATTAAAAGGGCCCTTCCTGCCACACTCCTTTTCTGTGTCCTTTCCTCCACCTTGGTGACTCCTGTCAATAGCAGTTCTATACATAGGAGAAACTTTATCAAACATTTGGGAAGGATAGGGAAGTTTTTACATTGTTTTCCTGGAGACTCATTCTTATGGCACAAGTAAAGATGCTATGATTGATCTGTGTTCATTATTTTTCTAGTGTTCTTCAGCATATACTGAGTATCTGCCAGCTCTGAGCTAGGCCCTGTGGATACATTGGTTTACAAGACCAGCTTCATTACTGATGAGCTTGGTCTGGTAGTGTGAGAGCAGAAAATTATACTGCGATTCATTCTTTTTTTTTTTTTTTTTTGAGATGGAATTTTGCTCTTGTCACTCAGGCTGGAGTGCAATAGCACTATCTCAGCTCACTGCAACCTCCGTCTCCCGGGTTCAAGTGATTCTCCTGCCTCAGCCTCCTGAGTAGCTGGACCTATAGGCATGCCCCACCATGCCTGGCTAATTTTTGTATTTTTATTAGAGATGGTGTTTCACCTTGTTGGCCAGGCTGGTCTTGAACTCCTGACTTCCGGTGATTCATCCACCTCAGTCTCCAAAAGTACTGCGATTATAGGCATGAGCCACTGTGCCCAGCCTGGGATTCATTCTTTTAGATTACAAATTCCAGGAGAGGAGGAAAAACAGGTCCTTTATGTATTAGTATATAGTTTGCCCAGTAAATATTAGGTGATAATAGAAAAAGTTATTTTCAAGTAAATATGTGAACTTTAACTTTTTAAAGTCATAAAATATCTCAATTATACAGAAAACTCATAGAAATAAAATAACAGATACTTTATCACTGAGATTAACAACAGATACATGTTTCTGAGATACTCTTGGAGTCTGAGAGTAGGCAAAGATTGTTCTATGATTTTCTTAAATTATTTATTGAGCAATAACTTTGAAAATTTTGATGAAATATGCATAACATATAGTTTACCATTTTTTAGGGTACAGTTCAGTGGCATTAAGCACATTCACATTGCTGTGTAATCACTGCTGCCATCCATCTCCAGAATTTTGTCTTTGCAGAATGGAACTCCATGCCCATTAGACACTGACTTCCCAGGAATGTTGACTGTTTAAAGGAAGATGTTTGTTGACTGGTGTAGACTGGATGCAGATGTAACTGGAAGACATTGTTAAAAATCTGCTCATGGGGTTGTTTTTAGATTGTCTGCAAGTATTGCAAGTTTAGGAATGGAGGAAATTGAGGCCAGGCACGGCAGCTCATGCCTGTAATCCCAACACTTTGGGAGGCTGAGGCAGGTGGATCATGAGGTCAGGAGGTCAAGACCAGCCTGGCCAAGATGGTGAAACCTTGTCTCTTCTAAAAATACAAAAAAATTAGCTGGGCGTGGTGGCAGTCACCTGTAATCCCAGCTACTCGGGAGGCTGAGGCAGGAGAATAGCTTGGACCTGGGAGGCGGAGGTTGCAGTGAGCCTAGATCAAGCCACTGCACTCTATACTCTAGCCTGTGACAGAGCAAGATTCCATCTCAAAAAAAAAAAAAAAAAAGAATGGGGGAAATTGAGACTTGGTTAGTGAAGAGTCAGAATTACTGGGCCCCTTTGAATGGCGTAAATATAGGTCTTTCCATAGGACTATTGGGGATTTAATGCTGTGAATACAGATGTTGGGGGCATTAACTGCAATATACAGTCCTTACAGCTATGGGATGCTCCTAATTCTTACATAAGGATTAGGCTGGGTGCAGCGGCTCACACCTATAATCCTAGAACTTTGGGAGGCCAGGACGGGTAGATCACTTGAAGTCAGGAGTTTGAGACCAGCCTGGGCAGTCTCTACTGAACGTACAAAAATGAGCCAGTCATGGTGGCATGCACCTGAGATTCCAGCTACTTGGGAGCTGAGGCAGGTTGCTTGAACCCAGGAATCGGAGGTTGCGGTGAGTCGAGTTTGCACCATTGCATTCTAGCCTGGGCATTGCAGTGAGACTCCATCTCAAAAAAAAAAAAAAACAAAAAAAATCTACATGAGTATATGAGTATAGATGCAAAGAAAAATGTCTGAAAGGACAGTGATTATTCCTTGATGGTGGATTTCAAGTGATTTTTACTTCCTCCTTTGTTCTTTTCTGTATTACTGAAGTGTTTTACAATTAGCATGTGTTATTTATGTTTCTGGAAAATACATCCCCATTTGGGGTCATGAATTTCTCATCTGTAAAACAAGAGTGGATTAAATTAGATTAGGAGTTTACAGCCTGAGCTCTGGGGGTATCTTGGAGCCCACTGAGAATGGGCTGAGCGGCCAGGCCTTTCCCTCTTCTCCAATGCTGATTTCATTTGAAAGAGGGATTTGACAGCTAAAAATGGCTAAGTCACTGAGTAGATATAGCATGTAGCATTATTTTTAGTTCTGAAATTCTGAGAGTCTTTTTTCCCTGTAATAGCTTAGAAAGTTGTATACGAGGGTGATTTTCAGGATATTTGATAAAGGGTAGTGCTGTTGGTTAGAAAATGCTGGCTGGAGTAGGCACCAGGAGGCCTCCTGCTGGCCAGTAGGTAGCCCTTGATTTAGGACTGCACTGTAGGGTGCGGGATCCTTGGGACAATGCCTGTTTATCTACTGATTCAGAGGCAGCTCTGCTGTAGCCATTAGTTCAACCACACATTAGCCCTGCATGTGTGGCACACAGAATTCAGTGGATTAGTGATATCTAATGGAAGTAAAAAAGGAAGTAAATTCTACCTTGGGAATATTCCAAGATACTGTCCTTCCTTTGTTCCCTCTGTTTCCTGCCATTCCTACTCAGAATATAAAACACAAGAAACTTTTTCCCCCTCAAGATTAATATCCCTGACTGTGCTGTTTTCCACCCCTTGTTTCACTTGTGTTTCAGGTCGTCATGTTGGCGATGTACAACTTGTCTCTAGAAGGAAGTGGACGTCAAGGTTATTTCAGGTGGAAAGAAGATATCTGCGCTTTTATTGAGAAACATTGGACTTTTTTACTAGGGAATAGGTAATGTTTTTTTAAAAAAAATCTTATAATTGAGGGAATGTGTAAAGAATGAAGTTTACAAGATTTGAGACAGCCTAATGTAGCCTTGTTAGAGATTTATTTTAATTTTTTGGGGGGACAGAGTCTTCCTCTGTCACCCAGGCTGGAGTTCAGTGGCACAATCATATCTCACTGCATCCTCAACCTCCTGGGCTAAAGTAATCCTCCTGTGTCAGCCTCCAACATACCTGGCTTTTTTTTTTGAAACAGAGTCTTGCTGTAACCCCCAACTGGAGTGCAGTGGTGTGATCTTGGCTCACTGAAACCTCCACCTCCCGGGTTCAAGAAATTCTCCTGCCTCACCTCCTGAGTAGCTGGGATTACAGGCACCTGCCCCTATGCTTAGCTAGTTTTTGTATTTTTCGTAGAGACAGGGTTTCACCATGTTGGCCAGGCTGATCTCGAACTCCTGACCACAAGTAATCTACCCACCTCGGCCTCCCAAAGTGCTGGGATTACAGATGTGAGCCACCATGCCTGGCCTTACTTTTTTATTTTTTATAGAGACAGAGGTCTCATGTTGTCCAGACTGGTCTTGAACTCCAGGGCTCAAACAATTCTCCTGTCTCAGCCTTCCAAAGTGCTGGGATTAAAGGTGTGAGCCACCATTCCTGACTTTGTTAGAGATTTAGTGTTTACTTGTGGCAATTACAAATAATTTTTGAATTCCAGAGAATGTTTTTACTTTCTTAAGATTAAAAACTTGGCTGGGTGCGGTGGCTCACACCTATAATTCCAGCACTTTGCAAGACTGAGGCAGGCAGATCACCTGAGGTCAGGAGTTCGAGACTAGCCTGACCAACATGGTGAAAACCCATCTCTACTAAAAATATAAAAATTAGGTGGGTGTGGTGGTGGCAGCCTCCTGTAATCTTACCTACCTGGGGGGCTGAGTCAGGAGAATTGCTTGAACCTAGAAGGTGGAGGTTGCAGTGAGCTTAGATTGCACTTCACTCCAGCTTGAGTGACAGAGCAAGACTCCACCTCAAAAAAAAAAAGGAAGGAAGGAAGGAAGGAAAGAAAGAAAGAGAAGAAAGAAAGAAAGAAAGAAAGAAAAAAAAGGAAAGAGAAAAAGAAAGAAAGAAAAAGAAAGAAAGAAAGAAAAGAAAGAAAGAAAGATCTAACAAAACAAGGACGAGAGGAAAAATAATGGCAGTTACTGACAGCATCTGCTTAGGTTGCCCTTAGTTAATAGAGTTTTGTGTTATTGTTATTTGTTCTTAACTCTGGAAAGTAGACACTCTTATGCTTTTAACTATTTTTCATAGTGCTTAGCAAAGTCTGGGCACATGTGCATATGGCTGGTTCATTAATCACTGTGTTTATCATTGCACTCTGATTTTGCTGCTATGTGCCCTCCTCAGTAGCTGCTTTGGTTCATTTAACTCGGGGATGCTGATGCACAGACCTTGCGACCATATGTTTTCACTAAAGGTCTCTGGATCTGACAAGACTTTTATTGCTCCTGGGGACTTGTGAGTTTGCTACCACATGGGTGAATTTTTACTTGAGATTCTGATTGTGAGTTGCTGTCTGAAATCCTGCATGAGATTTGTGGATCTTGCAGAATGAGGTTAGTTTAGACATGACAAAGGCTCTGATCACTTCAGGTCAGGGCAGGGAGTTCATGCCTTTCCTTACCTAGGGCTCACTGCACTGTCTGTTTCTTCAGATGCTGAGGAATCACAGCTTTGCTCATGTTACTGAGAGTGTGGGAGGGCAGTCAGAAGGAGGGTGACCTTCTGCAGGCTGCTGTGAGGCAATGGAATAGACTCCCTGCATTTTTACAAAAGGGGTTATTTTAGTTCTTGAGCTATTTAGTGGTGCTAAGAAAAGAGTTGACACTATAACTAGTTTTTTCTCATAAGGAAAGGAAATCTGTTGTTTTAGTTTAATGATTTAGCATTATTTATGGAACTTAATGTACCCCGTTTATAAAGGATAAGAAAGGGAAAAACTGATGAAATTGGATCTTGGAATGTTTTCATTATCTTCAACTGCTGTTCTATGTAGTGAGTTATCTCCTGGAACAAATTGGATTTAGATTGCCTCTTTTTAAGGATATCCCTGGATTTTTAACAGAAGTTGTTCAGTTGCTTCATTTGTTCATTTCCAGAGCATGTTCTGAGAGGAATCAGCTGAGCCTTATTTCTCTTTAACATACCATTGAAAGGCATTAATTACTCTCCAGTCTCTGTGTAGTTTATTAAACTAGTGTTTTGGCCATATTGGTATATCACCCGAGTTATTATTTATTTGATCTTCCTATTTAAGTCAGGTCACTTAAAAATACATTAATTTTAAAAAGAAACGTCACATCACCCTGGTAAGTGGGAAGCCTATATGAATTGTCATAAATAGAATGTAACAATAAAAATGAAACAATGCTGTTAAATTGTAGCTGGATCCCGTGGCGTATAATGGCAAGGCAAGACTTTCTTTTCCAGTCAAAAAGAGAGGTTACAAGTGTTAATGAGAATTTAAAGCAGTAAACTTTCTCCTTGATCTAACCAGAAGAAGCAAAAGAGAATTAGAAATCACTCTGTGATTCCTGTTACCGGGTTTCATGCTACAGTGCTGCTCTTTGCTTTTGGAACTCCACTTTAAACATCAGTGATTGGAAAAGTCCCCAGAAACTACTGCCCAAGTAGTTATCACTTGCTCAGATATCTCTGTGTATGAATGTTGACAAGATCACCATGCCCCAGAGAAGCTGTCCATAAAGAGCATTTATATTTAAGGTACACTTTTTTCATAGCTAAAGATTTTCATTCTGTTATCCATAGGATGTATTTTATTTATTTATTTTTTTGAGACAAAGTTTCAGTCTTGTTGCCCAGGCTGGAGTGCAATGGCACGATCCCAGCTCACCACAACCTCTGCTTCCTAGGTTCAAGCGATTCTCCTGCCTCAGCCTCCCAAGTAGCTGGGATTACAGGCATGTGCCAACACAGCTGGCTGATTTTGTATTTTTAGTAGAGAGGAGGTTTCTCCATGTTGGTCTTGAACTCCCCACCTCAGGTGATTTGCCTGCCTTGGCCTCCCAAAGTGTTGGGATTACAGGTGTGAGCCACTGCCCCCGGCCTTATTACTATTTTATGTGTGTGGCGGAATCTTGCTTTTTTGCCCAGGCTAGAGTGCAGCTGTGAAATCTTGGCTCATGTAACCTCTGCCTCCCAGGTTCAAGCAGTTCTCCTGTCTCAGCCTCTGGAATAGCTGGGACTACAGGTACATGCCACCATGCCCGACTAATTTTTGTATTTTTAGTAGAGACAGGGCTTCACCATATTGGTTGGGGGGGTCTTGAACTCCTGACCTCAGGTGACCCAGCCAGGACATACTTTAAATTCTTAAAAATTGTAACCATTTTTCATTTGTCGCAAGACCTGAGAGAATAGTATACAGTGAAATGAAGTTCTAAATTTTCTTTCAGATGTTTACAGATTTTTCTTTTATGCCTTTAATGTGTTACTAAAGTTTAAATGTAGAAAAGTGTATTTTTTAGGGCTAACTTAAATAATTTTATGTACCATTGTAGAAACAAGTTAAAAAGTATATGAAAACTTAATTATTACTGAATAATTGGCTAGTGTTTGTTCATTTAATCTGCTTTTACAGTCCTGGCCTTGAATTTTTCCAGAAGGCATAGTTTTGATTAGTGAAGAATAGTTTGAATATTTTCTTCTGTTGCCATATTTTACTGATTGTGTTTTAAAGACGGGGTTTCACCATGTTGGTCAGGCTGGTCTTGAACTCCCGACCTCGGGTGATCCGCCCGCCTTGGCCTCCAAAGTGCTTGGATTACAGGCGTCAGCCACCACGCCCAGCCCTGATTTTTTTTTAAGATACATAATTTTGTAAAATTTGATGTCTCTGACAGCTAGATATATCTTATAGTTACTGTAGGTCATAATTTAATTGGTAGTTAGCTTTTTCTTATTTGTACATAAAATGGTGTATCTCAAAGTTAATGGATCTTAGCATTGATGAAATGTAATAGAACATATTGGTAGTATCTACACTTCGATCAACTATATGAGGAGGACTCTGGGAAGGTGGCAGATAGGAAGCATCTGCCTTGCTGCTTGGACAGCAGTTGCACTGGCGGAATCTGACTCATGGAACTGTTTTGGAACTCTGTAGTCTAATAAAGGCTTGCAGTTTCCAAGGGAAGGCGTGGACAGCATATTGTGTTTCATACTGGTCAGTTTTGGTTCTTAATGCAGTAGCAGCTACCCGTCCCCCTTCTCCAGCTGCTAGGGAGAGAGCTGTTTGTGTGTTTCTGGAGCAGCTTACACACAGCTTGTAGCATTCATGGTGGGCAAAAATAAGCCGTTTTCCAAATATTGGGTATTTTGTGCTCTGATTACTGATTACTGCATCTAATCATAGAGTTAAAAAGAGGTGGCAGCCGTTGTTGTTGGAGCTCCCCACATTGCAAAAATGGGTAAAGGAATTTAGTAGACATTTCTTCAAAGATACAAAAATGTCCAATAAGCATATTAAAAGATGTTCAACATCACTAATCATTAGGGAAATGCAAATCAAATCTATAACAAGATACCCTCTCATACCCCTTAGGGCAACAATTATCAAAAAACAGAAAATAACAACTGTGGGCAAGAATGTGGAGAAATGGGAGCCCTTGTGCAAGTGTCGGTGGGAGTGTAAAATCGTACAATCATTACGGGAAACGGTATGGCGTTTCCTCAGATAATTAAAAATATAATGATAGTATCTGACATTTTCAGTTCTGGGTATATACTCACAAGAATTGAAAGCAGGGTCTCAGAGATACTTGTATATCCATGTTTTTAGCAGCATTATTCACAATAACTTAGATGTGGAAGCAACCCAAGTGTCCATCAGCAGATGAATAGATAAGCAAAGTGTGGCATATACATACAGTGGATATCATTCAGTCTTAAAAAGGAAGGAAATTCTGGCACGTGCTGCAGTGTAGATGAACATATGAAACAAGCCAATCACAAGAAAACAAATATTGTGTGATTCCACTTACCTGAGGTACTTAGGGTAGTGAAAATCACACATACAGAAAGTAGAATGGTGGTTGTCAGCACTTGGTGGGAGGGTGGAATTGGGAGTTGTTTAATGGATATAGAGTTTCAGTTTTGCCCTGTGAAAAGCGTTCTGAAGGTGGATGGTGGTGGTGATTGTACCGTATGAATGTACTTAATACCACTGAACTCAACTCTTAAAACTTGTTAAGATAGTAAATGTTAGGTATATTTTACCACAACAATAATTTTGGGGGAAAGTATTCAGGCTGTTTATAAATACTGTGTTTGTATATGTCCTGGCAACAAATTTATTCCATTCCATACAAATACTTCATTATGTGTCTATACTGTGATTTAGCTGGCTCTATTAGTTTGCTAATGATGCTGTAACACAAACTGGATGGCTTAAACAACAGAAATGTTTTCTAGTTCTAGAGGCTGGAAATCTGAAATCCAGTTATTGACAGGATTGGTTCCCTTTGAAGGCTGTGAGGGAGAGTCTATTCTATACCTCTCCCCTAGCTTCTGTTAGCCGCAGGCCTTCCTTAGCATTTAGAGGACGTTTTCCCTGTGTCTTCCTGCATCTTCCCTCTCCAGGTCTGTCTCTATTCAGGTTTCCCCTTGTCTAAGGACACCAGTCATATTTATTCAACCCAGTGACCTCTTGATCACTGTTTGCATGTAAGGTCATATTCACAAGTACTGGGACTTCATTTTGGGAGGACAAAATTAAATCTGTAACACTGGCTGATACTTTTATGAACATTTATGTTACTTCTGGTTTTCCTGTGTTTAAGTTAGCCTTGTAGGGAATATTCTTGTATATATGTCCTTTGTGTTTTTGTGATTAGATTTGTGGGGTCAGAGAATACACACAATTTTGCTGTACATTATGAAAGTAACCTCAAGAAAGTATACGCCAGTTTATAGTCCCACTGTCAATGTAGAAGTACACACCTATTTTCCACACACTAAATAACACATTGGTTTTTAAAATCTTTTGAGCCTTTTTCAATCTTTTTATTGTTTTTGTTTGTTTGAGATAGGGTTTCACCCTGTTATGCAGGATGGAATGCAGTGGCAAAATCATGGCTCACTGCAGCCTTGACCTCTTAGGCACAAGTGATCCTCCCACCTCAGCCTCCCAAGTAGCTGACACCACAGATACATGCCATCACACCCAACTAATTTTTTTATTTTTATTTTTGTAGAAATGAGGTCTTTCTGCGTTGCCCAGACCTTTTTTTTTTTATTGCAGTAAAAATGGTGAAAATTTACCATCTTAACCAGTTCTAAGTGGACAGTTCAGTAGTGTTAAGTATGTTCACATATTTGGATGTAGATTCACAGATTGCCAGAACTCTTTTCATCTTGCAGATCTGAAACTCTATATTAAATAACTCCATTCTCCCCTCCCCATAGCTCTAGGCAGTCACCATTCTACTTTCTGTTTCTATGAATTTGACTATTCTAAATAGTTCATATATGTAGAATCATACAGTATTTGTCTTTTTATGACTGGCTTATTTTGCTTAGCATAATGTCCTCAAGGATTATCCATGTTGCGGCATCTGACAGGATTTCCTTTATTTTTAAGATTTGAATTGTATTCTCTTGTGTATGTTTATACTACATTGTATATTAGAGGGGTTTGGAAAGATTGGAAAAAGATAAAAATGTAGGAGAGGTACTTTGGGACCAAACGGTTGGGGGTGTCATTCTCTCAGATAGTTAGTGCTTTTTTTGAGACTGACTCTTGTTGTCACCCAGGCTGGAGTACAATGATGCAGTCTTGGCTCACTGCAACCTCTGCTGCTTGGGTTCAAGCGATTCTCCTGCCTCACCCTCCTGAGTAGCTGGGATTACTGGCATGTGCCACCACACCTGGCTAATTTTGTATTTTCAGTAGAGACAGGGTTTCACCATGTCTGCCAGGCTGGTTTCAAACCCCTGACCTCAGGTGATCCACCCACCTCGGCCTCCCAAAGTGCTGGGATTACAGGCGTGAGCCACCATGCCTGGCCTCAGATGGTGCTTATGCCTACTGTAGCTTAGCTTATTTGTTTATTTTCTGTGTTTTCTTTAATAATACATCTCTGTTCTTCAGAATGCTTTTCCTTTGCCTTCCTAGAAATATCTTTTAGACTGACCTTCTTGTGAAAGACTGTCTTTTAGGATTTCCGGCAACTGATTTGTGTTTTCAAGGTGGAAAAAGAACAGTTGTCTTAAAAGAATTTTCAACAGGGTCCGCAAATAGTTGACATTATGCACATTTTGATATTTGTCATGCAGTAGGTGCTATCTCTGTTTGTGGAGCATACCACGTAGTTTTGTTACCACTCTAGTGCATCCAAGTAGATAGGATCAGATTGAGAGATGTGTGCGACTCCCCTGGTAAAGTGAGCTCTTTACTGGAGCCAGTGATTAACTTCTATCACAAAATGCCCGGACTTGGAGTTATGCTTTTCGTGTGCTTTATTCTTGGGAGCTGTGCTTAATTCATATAAAAAAGTAACCTAATTAAAAGTAGCCTGTAGAATTCCGTAATCATGATTGTGATTGAGAAGTATTTTACGTGCTTCGTTTGAATTGTTTCATTTAACCCTTACAGCAACCCTGTGAGGTAAGTTCTATTATTCTGATTTTTCAGATGAACAAACCAAGACTGCTAGAAGTTGGTAGTGCCAGGGTGTGAAGCAGGTGGGCCCCAGAACCTCTCTCCTGCCTCTTGTGCTCTGCTCCTTCAGCAGCGGGTGGTGCCATTGCATGTTGCAGGCCGGGAGTCACGGTATACATAGACTGACTTTCTACATAATGAGCTTATTTTAGTGCCAATCATTTTTAAATTCTTGGACTCTTTAGGAAAAAGACATCCACCTGGTGGAGCACCGTGGCAGGTTGCCTCAGCGTGGGAAGTCCCATGTACTTCCGTTCAGGTGCTCAGGAATTTGGAGAGTCGGGATGGTGGAAACTTGTTCATAACAAGCCCCCAACAATGAAACCTGAAGGAGAGAAGTTGTCTGCCTCGACTTTGAAAATAAAAGGTACTGTTGTGAGAACAATACAAAAGATGCTAGTCAGACCAGAGCCAAGCAGGCATGAGCCCAGGAGATGCCCCTGCTTCCACTGGCACAGCTCCAAGGCTTCTCTGGAGCTAGTCTCCTTAACACTTCTGTGATGACACTTATGTGTGTGTGCTAGAAATAAATGCCACATAAAAACATTTTATCACTTCCTAATCAAGCTATCAGTTTTACAAATTTCCCTGGGTATCTGAAAGGTTCAATGTTTTCCATCTGATTTTTGTTTTTAAACGTACCATCTCACAAAGGTGAAGAGATGTTTTAAAATTCCCATAATAAATAACATAATGAATTCCCTATGCCTTCCACCTCACTTGGACATTAACTCCTGACCATCTATTTTATCTAAATCCCCAATACTTTCCCCATTCTTAAAAAATCCCAGGAATGAACATTTTCATTCTTTTTTTTTTTTTTTTTGAAACGGAGTCTTGCTCTGTCCCCTAGGCTGGAGTGCAGTGGCACAATCTTGGCTCAGTGCAACCTCTGCCTCCCTGGTTCAAGCGATTCTTCTGCCTCAGCCTCTCTAGTAGCTGTGACTACAGGGGTGCACCACCACACCTGGCTAATTTTTTGTATTTTTAGTAGAGACGGGGTTTCACCCTGTTAGCCAGGATTGTCTTGATCTCCTAACCTCATGATCTGCCCGCCTCAGCCTCCCAAAGTGCTGAGATTATAGGCATGAGCCACGGTGCCCAGACGCCACATTTCATTCTTAAATGTCTCAGTGTGTATCTCTAAGAGATCAGGCAGGATTCTTTCCTTTTTGCAGCCTGACCATAATGCCATTTTCACATGGAAAAAGATGTTAATAGTAACTTCTTACTATCACATATTGATCAGTTTTATAATTTAAAAAGGTTTTAATGTGCTTTTACATTTTTATATTTACTTATTGGTTTATTTATTTGAGATAGAGTCTCGCTCTGTCACCCAGGCTGGAGTGCAGTGGTGCAATCTTGGCTCATTGCAACCTCTGCCTCCTGGGTTCAAATGATTCCTGTGCCTCGGACTCCTGAATAGCTGGGCTTAAAGGCACACACCACCATTCACAGCTAATTTTTTTGTATTTTTAGTAGAGATGGTGTTTCACCATGTTGGCTAAGCTCGTCTCGAACTCCTGACCTCAGGTGATCCACCTGTCTTGGCCTCCCAAAGTGCTGGGACTACAGGCGTGAGCCACTATTAAAACATTTTTAAAAAAAGAACGGAGATAGGGTCTCACTAAAACATTTTTTAAAAAAGAATGGAGATAGGGTCTCACTATTTTTCTCAGGTTGGTCTTGAACTGCTGGGCTCAAGTGATTCTCCGGCCTCTGCCTCCAAAAGTGCTGGGATTACAGGCGTGAGACATCATGCCTGACCTTTTGTTACTTCAAACACGCTATAATTATACAAATTTGTGTACATGTGAAAATGTGATAAATTCCTGGAAGCAGAGTTTCTATATCAAAGATCATATTCATTCAAAATTTTAATCAGGATTGCCAAATTATCCTCCAAGAGACTATAATAAGGCCAGGTGTGGTGGCTCATACCTGTAATCCCAACATTTTGGGAGGCTGAGGTCAGGAGTTCAAGACTAGCCTGGCCAACATGCTGAAACCCCATCTCTACAAAAATACAAAAATCAGCTGGTCATGGTGGCACGGATCTGTAATCCCAGCTACTTGAGAGGCTGAGGCAGGAGAATCACTCAAACCTGGGAGGCGGAGTTGTAGTGAGCCACGATCACACCACTGCATTCCAGCCTGGGTGACACAGCAAGACCCTGTCTCCAAAAAAAAAAAAGGAAAGAAAGAAACTTCCCATTAAAATGCCCTCGAAAATGCCCATTTTCCCATACATTTACTGAGCTTTACCAAACTTTTTTTTTTTTTGGCTTACTGCAGCCTCCACCTTCCAGGCTCAAGATCTATCCACTCAGCCTCCCAGACTGCTGGGATTAGAGGTTTGCACCACCATGCCTGGCTAAACTTTTAATATTTACCAGTTCCAGTAGATGAAAGATAGTATTTATGGCCGGGCGTGGTGGCTCACACCTGTAAATCCAAGGACTTTGGAGGCCAAGGTGGGCGGATCACCTGAGGTCGGGAGTTCAACACCAGCCTGACCAACATGGTGAAACCCCGTCTTAAAAAAAAAAAAAAGAAAAGAAAGTATTTATTTGTTTAAATTTGCATTTCAACTTCTTTTTTCTCAGGAGATATTTAAAATCTTTTTTAGTTTAGGGCATTAATTGAACATGAAACTATTCATAAAGATAAATTAGCAAAAGAAGCTAAAGTTGAGTAGTTATTTTAAAATTTAGATATGGGTTAAGCAGTCCAAATCTGAAAATCAGAAATCAAAAACGCTCCAAAATCTGAACCGTTTTGAGCACCAACATAACCCTCAAAGGAAATGCTCATTGGAGCATTTCAGATTTTGGATTTCTGGGTTTGGGATGCTCAACCAATAAGTATAATGCAAGTATTCCAAAATCCGAAAACATCTGAAATCCAAAACATGCTTGTTCTGAAGCATTTCAGATGAGGGATGCTCAGCCTGTATTTATTCTTTTCTGGCAGCCTCAAAACCAACTTTAGATCCCATCATTACTGTTGAGGGACTTAGAAAACGGGCAAGTCGGAATCCTGTGGAATCTGCCATGGAATTAAAAGAGAAAAGGTCTCGAACTCAGGAAGCAAAAGACATTAGAAGAGCCCAAAAGGAGGCGGCTGGTTTTCTTGACAGGAGCACGTCTTCTACCCCTGTAAAGTTCATAAGCCGAGGCCGTAGGCCAGATGTGATTCTTGAAAAAGGAGAAGTGATTGACTTTTCCTCCTTGAGCTCCTCTGACCGCACCCCGCTGACAAGCCCATCTCCTTCTCCTTCTCTGGATTTCTCTGCCCCTGGGACACCTGCCTCTCATTCTGCCACGCCCAGCTTGCTTTCAGAAGCAGATCTGATTCCAGATGTGATGCCCCCGCAAGCCTTGTTTCACGGTAGGACTTTGCTTGCTTTGGTCTTTTATTTTGGGTATGGGCCATAGTATAGATATACAAGTTTTCACCCTGTGGGTTTTGTGCTCTGCATTTCTTCCTTCCTGGGTCTTGATGACACTGTTTTGTATTCTGCACAGATGATGATGAGATGGAAGGCGATGGAGTCATAGACCCAGGGATGGAGTACATTCCACCCCCTTCTGGGTCAGTAGCTTCTGGGCCAGTGGTTGGGAGCAGAAAGAAGGTCAGAGGCCCTGAACAGATAAAGCAGGAGGTAGAGAGTGAGGAAGAAAAACCAGACAGGATGGATATTGACAGTGAAGACACAGATTCCAACACGTCTTTGCAAACAAGGGCTCGAGAAAAGAGGAAGCCTCAGCTGGAGAAGGACACAAAGCCGAAAGAGCCCAAGTATACTCCCGTGAGCATCTATGAGGAAAAGCTGTTGCTCAAGAGGCTGGAAGCTTGTCCTGGTGCGGTTGCCATGACTCCGGAAGCTCGGAGACTGAAGCGCAAACTGATTGTCAGACAAGCGAAAAGGGATAGGGGATTACCACTTTTTGACTTGGATCAAGTTGTTAATGCTGCTCTTCTGTTAGTTGATGGGATTTATGGAGCCAAAGAAGGAGTTTCCAGACTTTCAGCTGGACAAGCCATGTACCGAACTACCTGTCAGGACTTCAGAATCCTTGATCGATACCAGGTGAATGCAGGCATTTGCTATAAAGCTGGTGGGGGCAGGAGTGGAGGTGGGGCAGGCTGTACCAGGCAGTTGACATGGTTATGCTGTGACCTTTTAAATCCTGAGTAGTTTGGGAAGAGAGAAGTAATGAGCAAGGGGAACAAAAATCACTGGGCTTTGTTTGTGACAGTTGTTTCTTAGAAGAACACCTTAGTACATCTGGGTTTTCTTTTCCTTTAACCTATAAGTGTTCTTTATCTCTCTCTCAGAGGGTAGCTGTACATGGTTTGTGTTGTAGCTTTGATAGATTTGTCGAGGCCATGACAGTGTCTCGCACACTGTGCTGCACAGGATCTGAAGGTAGAGATCTGCGTAGAGGACAGCATGAAGAAATAGTAGCCAAGGGATCAGTGTGGTGTCAGTGTTGCCCAAAGGATGATCAGTGGAACCCAAATTTTGTGGATGCTTCTGGGAACATTTAATTCCACTTAGAACTGTCTGCATATACCCTAGCACTGGGAGGAACAAGAGGCCTTATTTCACTATATCTTTGTCTGCACTTGATACTAGCCTCTAAGTTTTGCTGATTGGCTGGCTGTAAAGTGAAATCTTGTTTTTATTTACATTTCTTTGGTTAGAGGTGAGGTTAAATTTCATGGTTGTTTCTCTGCAAATTGCCTGTTTGGGGCCTGGATGCTTTTCTGTCTTCTTCTCTGGAAGCTAGTGGATTCTGCTCTCCATTGCTGGTGTTCTGGTATTATTCAGTGATATGCCATATGTAGGGCTTATGTCTTTCCTTGTGCTGGACATGTGGTGTTTGGGCCCCTTCAGTTTGAAACTTTCTTTCCTGAGTATGGAAAAGTTTTGATCTCCTGTCTTCTATTTTTTTTGTTCCCTCATTTTAGAACTCCCCTATTATTTGGATATTGGACCCTCTAGATCAAAAGTTGGCAAACTTTTTCTGTAAATAAAAAAATATTTCTGCCAGATAGTAACTATTTTAGGCTTTGCCGGCCACAAAATCTCATTGGGAACTGCTGTTGTGATTTGAGAGCCATAGTGAATGGGGCTGTGTTCCAGTAAAAAGAATGGTGGGGAGTGCCTATAGTTTACCAGGATCTCTACTCCAGATAGATCCTCTTTTCTTTTTTCTTCTAATTCCAGTATTTCCTGGGAAGCACACAGTATTAACCAGCCTGCATACCAGGAGCCAAGTTGGGAGGGCTCAGGAGCCTACCATTGAGGAAGTAAATTGACTCTCCCTGTCTTCAGGACGGTACTCACCCTTGGCTTCCTGTGTCCAGAATTTCTCTCTTGAGCCTCTGCAGTCTTCTGCCTGTAGAGGGAAAGATCATTTCCTGGCTGTGGGCAGTGTAATTAGTATACGGGTATAATTAGAGGCTTTAACCTCTTAAAGAGCCTCTCTGTGAAATCATACCCCCCAGGCTCTAAGGCTGATGACTTCAGTGGCTATACTTCCCTGAGGCTGTGTTTTGTAAATCACCCTGCTCCTGGCTTAGCTTTACCACTGGCTTAGGTGGTATCAGCTCTCACTGAATGGCCCCATCTGGAGCCTTTGTTAGACCTTCCCAAAAATCAGACCTCCTGGCTTCTGGGGGAGGGCAGCCACCCAGCTAGAGAGAGTGGAGGGATCTGGGGATCATACTGCTTTCCACATGCTGTTTGCCTGATTCTTATTTTAACTGTCCCATTTAGTCCCAGTTCCAGAGGAATCTGCTGCTGCTGCCTGGATTTTAGCCAGTTCTGCAGTATAGATTGGGTTGTTAGCTCTCATTCAGCTTACCCAAAGCCACTTTGGGATTTTGGCGTTAAATCAGTTACTATTTGTCCATCTGCTTACCACTTACTGTTCTAATTAAGTCAGTTTCTGTAGTTTTAGTGGGATTTTGGGAAGTAGTAAAGCTATATACTTGTGTTTTAACCCAGTCTTAACTTGGATTTTTTTTTTTTTTTTTTTTTTTTTGAGACGGAATTTTGTTCTTGTTTCCCAGGCTGGAGTGCAATGGCACAATCTCTACTCACCACAACCTCCGCCTCCTGGGTTCAAGCAATTCTCCTGCCTTAGCCTCCCAAATAGCTGGGATTACAGGCATGCACCACCACACCTGACTAATTTTGTATTTTCAGTAGAGACAGGGTTTCACCATGTTAGCCAGGATGGTCTTGATCTCCTGACCTTGTGATCCGCCCAACTCGGCCTCCCAAAGTACTGAATTACAGGCAGGAGCCACCGCACCTGGCCAACTTGGAATTTTAGTATAAATTTTAATGTATTTACACAGGGGTGGCTATAAATGCATTTATTCAATCCATACTCTTGTTTTATATTTATTCTTTTAGTGCAAGTTAAAGCGGCAGTTGCTAATGTAGAAGCAGCAACACGTTATCCAGAAGATCTAGCTAAGATTATTGATGGAAGTGGCTACACTAAGCAAGATGTTCAGTGTAGGTGAAACAGCCTTCTATTTAAAGAAGATGCTGCCTACAACTTTAATAGTTAGAAGTCAGGGCCTCAGTTCAAAGCTTCAAAGGACAAGCCAACTCTCTTCTTAGGGGCTAATGCAGCTGGTGACTTTCGGTTAGAGACAATGATCATTTGCTCTTCCAAAAGTCTTAGGGCCCTTATAAATTATCCTAAGTCTACCCTGCCTGTGCTCTGTAAATATATCAACAAAGCTTGGATGACAGCATATCTGTTTACAGCATGGTTTACTGAATATTCTAAGCCCACTATTGAAAGCTACTACTTGGAGAAAAAGATTATTTCCAAACAATTGCTGCTCGTTGACAATATACCTGGTCACCCAAGAGTTCTGATGGAGAGGTATAAAATTAATATTATTTTCATGCCTGCTAACACAGCATCCATTCTGTAACCCATGATGGATCAAGGAGTAATTTTGATTTTCAAGTCTTAAATAAGACTTTTTGTAAGGCTATAGCTACTATAGATAGCGATTCCTCTGATGGATCTGGGCAAAGACATTGAAAACCTTCTAAAAAGCTTTCACCATTCTAGATGCCATTAAGAACATTTGTGATTCATGGGAGGAGGTCGAAATTTCTCTCTTTTTTTTTGAGACAGAGTTTCACTCTTGTTGCCTAGGCTGGAGTGCAATGGTGCAATCTCGGCTTACTGCAACTTCTGCCCCTCGCGTCCAAGCGATTCTCCTACCTCAGCCCCCTGAGTAGCTGGGATTACAGGCATGTGTCACCATGCCTGGCTAATTTTTTTTTTTTTTAAGTGGTCAGGCTGGTCTCGAACTCGTGACCTCAGGTTATCTGCCCACTCCAGCCTCCCAAAGTGAGGGATTGCAGGCATGAGCCACCACGCCCGGCCACAGTTTTAACATTCACAGGAGTTTGGAAGAAGTTGATTTCCAAGCCTCATGGATGACTTTTGAGGGGTTCAAGACTACAGTGGAAGATGTCACTGTGGATGTGGTGGAAAGAGCAAGAGAACTAGAATTAGAAGAGGAGCCTGAAGATGTGATCGATAAGTGTCATGATAAAATTTGAATGGATAAGGGTTGCTTCTTATGGATGAGCAAAGAAAGTGGTTTTATAAGATAATATCTACTCCTGGTAAAGATGCCATGAACATTGTTGAAATTTGACAGCAAAAGATTTAGAATATTGCATAAACAGTTGATAAATTAGTGGCACAGTCTGACTTCAATTTTGAAAGAAGTTCTTTTGTGGGTGAAATGCTATCAAACAACATTACATGGCCGGGCATGGTGGCTCAGGCCTGTAATCCCAGCACTTTGGGAGGCTGAGGTAGGTGGATCACCTGAGGTCAGGAGTTCCAGCCTGGCCAACATGGTAAAACCCTGTCTTTCCTAAAGACAAAAATTAACCAGGCATGGTGGTGTACCTGTAATCCCAGCTACTTGGAAGGCTAAGGCAGGTGAATCACTTGAACTTGGGAGGTAGAGGTTGCAGTGAGCTGAGATCTCATCCCTGCCCTCCAGCCTGGGCGACAGAGCAAGAGTTCGTCTTAAAATCAACCAACCAAACAAAAAGAAACAAAGAAACCCGGCGTCACATGCTACAGAGAAATCTTTTGTGAAAGGAAGAGCCAATCAATGTGGCATACTTCATTCTTGTCTTATTTTGAGAAATTACCCCAGCCATCCCAACCTTCAGCAACCACCACCACCCTGATCAGTTGGCAACCATCAATATTGAGGCAAGAGCCTCTACCAGTAAAATGATTGACTCACTGAAGGCTCAGATGATTGTTGGCATTTTTTTTCTTTTTAGCAATAAGGTATTTTAAATTAAGGCATATACACTTTTTTAGACATAGTACTATTATTGTACACAATGACAATATATTGTCAGCTTTTTTTTTCTTTTCTTTTCTTCTCTCTTTTTTTTTTTGAGATAGCCTCGCTATCACCCAGGCTGGAGTGTAGTGGCACAATCATGGCTCACTGTAGCTGTCAGTTGACTTCCTGGGTTCATGCAGTCTTCCCGCTTCAGCCTCCTGACATGCTGGGATTACAGGCATGAGCTACCACACCTGGCCTTAAACAATTTTTATATGCCTTGGAACACCAAAAGTTTGTGCAGCTTGCTTTATTATGATATTCACTTTATTGCAGTGGTCTGGCACCGATTCTGTAATGTCTTTGAGGTGCACCTGTATTTTAAATTCCCAGTCCAGTAGTTGTAACATCTTTGCCATATCTCAGTCTGGTTTTGATGTTTGTTCTGTTTTTTTCAAGTTGTGTTTTTTGCCTTTTGTATACCTTGTAATTTTTTGTTGAAAGCCAAAAATAATGTTCTGGGTAAGAGGAGCTGTGATAAGTTGGCTGTTGGAAATGTGGGAGGTGTGGGCAGGGAAAGCCCTCTATAAGCTCTGTGAGTAGTTCTCAGTCTTTTGAACCTGTGCTCTGGGCTGTGGACTTCAAAAGTGCTTCTCACTTTTCTCCCCAGTCAGCTGGGACTGGATGGTTAGAGGGTATGGAGTTAGGTATTTCTCTTCTCCCAGG